CAATTGAAAACTGATGGGAATTCTGCCTTTCAAGTCAATAGGAGCAGGCCCGGCTCCTTGACTTGTAGCCAAGTCCAGTGTGTCATTACTGTACCTGAACAAAGTAGGAAAAGGTCCTGTTTTTCAAATTAGCATGCATGTGACTGCTGCCTAATTTGCACGCACAATTTACCACAATTGCATGCGCAAATTTGGTAGCTATGCATTCAAATGGTTCCATTTGTCTACTCACTAACAGTAACTGCATGCATGCAATTTTGAAAATACAAGGCATAAATCTACTACCTAGGTAAAAAGCAGAGGAGGTATTTGCTACACATACTAGAATAGGAGATCTCTCCCTGTTCATAAGTCCTTAAATTTATACCAAAATCAATAGTATATCTCTAAGTGAAGCTAACAAAATTAGCAGAATTTTAATACAAAATGCTTACAACTGTAGAAAAAATAATTAGATTAGAAAGGAACATTTTATCAGCAGGGATATACTGCAAAGGTTTGATACTGGCATGTTTATCAAATTCTGGCACCGTAAATGTTATCTTCCTCGCTAAGTTATAATAATAAACACTTTGCACTTCTAAGAGACCTTTCATCCAAGTAGTTCAAAGCGCTTTATAAACATTAATTAAGCCTCACAATCCCCATGTGAGGTAGGTAAAGAACATAGCAGAAGCCAGAAAATAATATTGTAGTCAACTGAAACTGATGTAGAATTTAGGTGGACAGAATTACCTGCATTAGAATTTGGTTAAGCGATTGGAGTAACACCCTACATTTGTGAATAGGGCGTGAATTACTTAGTAAGCCCTGGATCTAAATGTCTAATCTAAAAGACATCACATCCAAACAGCATAGTGTCCCTTAAAAACCACGCTGAGGTCTTTGGGAATTGTGCAGTACTGACTCGGAGGGAAGAGTGCTGCTTACCACTGATAAATCATTATCTCTTTTAAGCAACTGACTATTTCCAGTACTGCAGCTGCTTCTTATTCAGTGGAACATTTAACAGTCGGTCATTTGAGTTTAAAACACAACACTGTGTGTGTGTACAAGAAAGAAATAGCTTACTGGAAAATATGAAAACGTTTCATGTAAAAAAAAAACCATTCAGTTTTGTACTCTTGTTGACAATCTCAAATGCCCAAAAATATGGTCTGACTTGTTTTTGATTGCTGTTACAATAACAGATTAATTTAATAATCAGTAGGATATTGAATGACAAAAAATTATTGGTTGAGGCAGCCAAACCCTGACCCTAATGACATTCTTATGTTAATTCTTGTTTTCTTTTAGGCTCCTACTTTCTTAATAAAACCTATATTTTAAAAACATTTTAAACACTGCAAATTGTCCTGAAGAACTATTTCTTTCTTTATAGCAAGTTTACACATACAAGATTATATTATATACATATGCACACATTTAGCGCCTGATCCAAATCCTATGGAAGTGAATAGGCATCTTTCCATTGACTTAAATGGACTTTCAAAGAAGCCCATAGAGTTAGTTGAGTTATTTATGAGTGAACAATTTATATATTTGATGAAGTCCTTTATAATAGTTGTGCTTTATTCACCAGCACTTTGATTTTAATTCATGTACCTAATATTCAAATTTATTTGAAAATTTCATGCAAACAAATTACAGCCTTGAAATTGGACTCAATCATGCAAGGTCCTGAGGTCCATGGTGAGTCAATAAGAGTTGAGATCAAGTTATATCATGCAGGATTCTTGCTTTGTGTATGCTCTATTCACAATCAATATTTGTGCTGAGTGATTGTTTTTGTAAGTCAAATAATATTGCTTCATTTCACTATCTGGTTGACCAAAACTTTTATAAAACCGGAGAAAGGCTTGAATGAGTCACTTGTGGTACAAACCTTCTTGCAATGGAATAGTTGTAATATTGCCATATTGAATACTTGCGTAAATATCCATGACATTTTCACTTTCTCTTAATGTTCTTGAAAGCAAAAATTGTTCATACGAATGCATGTGAAGATTAAACAAAGGAGTTGGGAATACCATGGGAGTAAATTTGTGATGTATATTCAACTGAATATTTGCAAATACCTTTTTCCAGTAGCCACCCCGCTCTATATGTATACACTCTCAATGTGTAAAATAAATATACTCATTTATGGCCTGATCCATCTCACATTAGAATCAATGGCAAGACTCCTACTGACTCTGTGGGAGCTGTATTGAAACCCTTAGCATCCAATCACGTGAAGCACTGAACACCCTCAAGTCCCATTGAAGGCAGTGGAAGTTGAGGGCATGCAGCACCCTGTAATATTGGATCCTTACTTGGAGCAAATGAGACACCACTCTTAAATTAATAATATTGAGCAATATGCTTCCTTGTAAAAATATTTACTGTACTAAAGCCATGAAACTGAAAAATGGGTCATAAGATGTAGGCCCACAAAAGACTCTGGGTCAAATTCCTTAGCTATTCTGGGAAAGCTGCTTGGGTTATAGCAAAACATTTGGTAACCAGTGCAGAGTACAATCTTAGATGCACTTTGTAGATTGTTGATGACAGTCAGTGGGTAAGCTGCATAACGAAGAGTGTTCCCATGAGAATCTGACAGTTCTTCGGGATTATTTCTCTATGTTTTGCCCTTGCTTGTGGAGAAAAATAATGGGTGCCTTGAGAACAGTTGGTAACTAACATAGATTTGGTTGTGGTGGTTTTTTGTTTTGTTTTGTTTTTTGTTCCACTGTGGAACATAAAATGTTTTTCTATGAAAATCATCTTAGCACATTATTTTTAAAATACTATAATTTTCACTAAACTCAGTTTCCAACTCATTGCTGTCCAAGTTTTGCAGAATTATGTTATTTTTTGAAAGTCATTTCCTTTGCCCTGAAATTACCTACGCAGCCTGAAAATCTGGTCCCGTTAAATTAACCTCTTTCTAATGGAATCAAGCCTTTTTGCAATGTTAAACAAAACGTATGTGATAAAATAATTTGTTGTGCATGCTCTCACTAATCCTCTGAGCAATGATGATAAAGCAATACTGTTTTAATTCTACATTGTTGACATCAAGCAAAATATAGCAATATAACAATGTGGAGTTTGCTATGTGGAAACATAATGGCTTGATTTTCTTGATTTTGTACTTTTCATGCAATAGGACCGATTGTTACAATGAAAGTGTTCTGCAGGATTAGTTTATAAACGAAGACTATTTCTGTCACCAAAAGCCTTATAAAAAGAGTTGCTCTGACATGACTGCAATAGTTTTCTTATAACTAAATGATAACCAGAAATGAACTAGAAGTGAATATTCATTTTCAGCATGTCTTAAGTCCTCAAAAAGCTATGGGGTGACCAAAATGCACCCCTCACTCCCGAGTTCTACAATATGGTTCGCAGCAGTCCTCATCCTTAATACAAAGGTGTAGCCCACCAGTTACAGGTTCCAGCATGAGATCATATGTTTTGATCCAAGTGGTCTGTTCTCAGATCAATACAGAATATTAAGTTCTGAGACTTTCAATTTCCACCTTTGCAGTAAAGGTGAGTGATGTTGCAATCTTTTATACCTTATAAAAATTAAAAATATCTCTTAGGCTTCTGACATGTTATTAATTTGTCCCTAAATATGTTAAAGGTTGGATGCCTCTGGCATACCATCTGGCTGACCCCCCACAATAAGTGTGTGAACCAAACACTTTTGACATTTCACTTACTAGCTCCAACACAACATTGGCCACATTGCTGTGTGTGCTTCACCCTTTACAGTAAGAAAGAAAATTTTCAGATTCAGAAGTTCTTTCACTGTAACTAAAGTGCCTTCAAATTATCACTTTATAAATTATATCCCAGGGATTCACTCACTTATTTTTTAAAGATGATCAGGTTATTACAAAGCACGTGTGTTGAAATGGGTTGAAATGAAAGTTTAGAGTGAAATCCTACACACATTGACTTCAATTGGGCCAGGATTTCACCCTTAGTTACTAACTGCATACTGGCTTAGGATGGAGGAAGTAAGCTATAACAATTTCTTTCTGAACCAAACAAATCAAAGAAGGTAGAAATTTTGATTGCTCTAGTTCTTCTTGGCATTTCTGTGATAGAAAGGATACTATTGCAAATATTACTGTGTTTTGTGACAACGATATCTCAGCATAGGGAAAGTTAAATTAAAAAACAGAAACCATCACTAAGTATACAAAGTTGATATAATCATTTGCATAAACTATATAGTCAGTAACTAAGCAACATTCTAATTATAATATACTGTTAAGCGACATTTTCTTATTATAGTTACATCGATTTAGAGAGACACTAAATGCAATGAGCAAGAATATTAGTTTTTGGGGGGGAAGTTGGGACGAATTAATTTTCTTTGAAGTACTTCTTTTAACCCTTGGAAGGTCTAGTCTACTATAGAAATAGTACAAGCAACCAAGGGATGTCTAATGTGTGCCAGACTTGTCCATTGTCAGCTCAGCTTCCCAGAACTAAAGCTTGGGAAAAGATCTTTACTCCTCTCCCATGCTTTTCAGCTTAACAACAATATGGCGAGAGTGTTGGAGAGTCAAACAGAACATCCAGATACCACTGCACCAAAAGCCAGTGGAATTCCTAAGTTGTTGTTTTGCTTATAGGACAACTAACTGCCTTGACCTTTCATTTGTATATAAATCAGTAAATAATTCTCCCTTTTTTAGGATATTGCACAAGTCTGGTCTCCAGTCATTGACCTAAAACTTATAGCATTGCAAAGAACTTCTTCAGTCACTAGAAGCCTGGACCTATCCAGCATTTTCTGGTACAGTATAATATCCCTTGCTTTAATTTCAGAACATTAAACTGTTACATGACCCCTACACTACCAAGAGAAATGGCATCCAGTCATTGATGGGCAAGACATAATGTAAAAGCTAGAACTGCATATCCTTCAACATAAACTTAAAAATCTCAGTTTATCTGGTTTGTCACAAACGGTTGTATAAAAAATTGAAAGGGCTTACTTGAAACAGTCATCACAAGCAATGTTTCCCATGGTCTCCTTTATAGTGCGTTCAGAAACAAAAGCTGGATATTCAGTATCACAAGGCTCTAGGGTTTGTTTCAATCTCTGTGCTATAGGCATATAAAAATATCTTAATGTTACTTGGGAAGAACAAGCACACAAAAACTCTCAACAATGCGAGCTACTGTACCAAACAGCTTACAGTGAATAGAAATGATACTCAGCTTCTGCCACCCTGTGATATTTCCTAGGCAGTGCAAAATGCTTTTTTTTTAATTAACAAAACCCTTTTAGCTGGGGGATGTAATTTTATAAGACATAAACCGTATCATAGTTATCTGTGATTTACCCTTAGCCAAGCTAGTTTTCATTTATGGATAAGATTTTGTTTTCACACTATGGATAGGCTCAAGCGAAACCAGCTGCTGCTTTTCAAGTATACACATCTACTTTCTAATTCTCCTTGATAATTGTATTTAAATATATTTGTTGGAGTACCCCTAATTAAGGCACTGTACATTCAACTGAAGTCAACATATCATTTCTGTGGAGGGTAACCCTGGAGATTTTGCATTGTCTCGGAACTCACAAAGAAAGGACGTAGGGGACAAAAAAAAAAGATCTCATCAAGAAGTGATGTTCAGTTTTTGAATGTCTTCTATCTCTGGCTTTTTTTCCTTCCAGAACATAATAATACTTAACTTTCCATAGCACTTTTCATCCACAGATCCCTCAAAGTGCTTTACAAGGGAGGGGTAAGTATCACTATTCCCATTTTACAGGTGGGGAAACTGAGGCACACAGCAGTGATGTGACTTGTTCATAGTCAAACCACAGAACAGTGACAGAGCTGAGAATGGAATGCAGGTCTCCTTATCTGCCACTCTAGTGACTTATTCACTGGATCATATTTTACTCCTTATATGTGCAAACACAACCTCTAGACATATCTTCAACTAATTGCTATGTGGGAAAACTGACTATCAATTATGCAAAGATAGATTACACTGAACAGGCTCATGGACTCCAGAGTTTCTCCACTCAAGATTGTTTTAGAACCAATGGTAAGCCTACTGCAGATCAGTCAGGGAATTATTGTAAAGTTGGGTTTGTAAGTCAAAGAGAGAGTAGGATATATCTCTCTGAACTATAATATTTTTTACATGCCAAACAAAAAAAAATTTCTCATGTGCATCAACCTTAGGCAGGGTATTGTTGGAGGGAGATGAGAAGACAGGGAGAGGGGGAGATTAATATGATATGTCTCATCCTTTTTTATACAGGCACTTTTGAAAACAGTACTTAGGCTCCTAAGTCATGTTGTGCTTTTGAAAAATTGACCTCTGGCCTGGTCTACACTACAGAGTTAGGTCAATTGTAAGGCAGCTTACACAGGGGTGCTGGAAGAATTTTTATAGTGGGGGTGCAGAGAGTTAATGAATCAAACTGTAAACTCTGTGTATAATGGAAACAATTTCAAGCCTGGGGGTGTAGCAGCACCCCCAGTTCCAGCACCTATGAGCTTACGTCGATCTAACTATGTAAGTGTCTACACTACAATGGTCCTCCCACCCATGTAAGTCGCCCACTACATCAATCTAATAACTCCACCTCCAGGAGAGGCGTAGCACTTAAGTGAGTGTAGTTCAGGTGATGCAGTGTTTGTGTTACATCACCTGTTGATGAGGGATTTTTTGCGGGGGGGGAAGGGGGAAGAGAGCCCAAGGCTGGCTGCCTCCTGGCAAGGCATTACATTGGGGGGGGGAATCCCTCACTGGGAGGCGGCAAGGTTCAGGCTCTCCTCCCCTCCCCCAATCCCTTACCGGGAGGTGGCGACAGTCCAGGCTGCCAGCCCTGGCACCAGGGCTCCTGGCACCGGGGCGGAGGTGAGGGGGTCTCCAGCTGTCAACTGTGGGATGGGGAGGCTCTAGCTGTCAGTGCCCCACTTCAGTCGGAGAAAGCGCTCCAGGTGAGGACATGTTCCACTGACAGAAGAAGCTAGTGTGGACATGAGAAACCGCAATAATGATTGCGGGGCTGTACCTCAACCTAACTTAGGTCAACTTAATTTTGGAATGTAGACCAGGCCTCTGTGTCTTGCATCTATGGAAGTAATCTGACACTGTTTTACAGAGTGGGAAATATCTGATCCACAGAAACCTGTGCATCATGCTTCATGAGTAAGATTTACATTTAAATAATTAAGTAGATTTGAAAATTAAATTCATTTTACACTAGTCAGGAATTTATGATGGAAAAAATCTTTATAATCAAAGGCATGAAAACTAGAGGAGTGGGGGAATCACCTGACATTGTAGGGTCCTGCCTCTGTCAGGGACCACTTTTTGGGGTCTGGCCACCTAGATGAGGTTAACTGGCAAGGATCTGCACCATCCTGCCGTTCCTTCCTGTTCTCTCTATTTGGGGTGGAGAATACTTGCTGCCCGAGAGTGGTTGGTGTGATCCCCACCTATGATTCTGGAGCCCTACTCCCTCATGTATCAACAGACGTAGGTGACGAAGAGTCTGCCAGGGATTGGAAAGTTTCAGATTTCTCTGGTTCCTTGATTGAGGGGCCCAAGGTTTAGGAAGCTATCTCCTGTCTTTAATTCACAAGTGTCAGAGAGGTTATGGGGCTCCATGCTGCAGGTAGAAATATTTCTCCTACCATGAAGTTGATGAGCTGGCAGGTGATTGGAGCAGGTTTGGTATCAATAATAATGCACAAAATATACTTATCATATTTTGAGCAGCAAGGAATTTTACCCTCAGAGGGACTGAAAATCACTATGATCTATGAGGCATTGTTAAGAAAGGCAAAGGAATTTGTTGCTACTGCACGAGTTCTTTGGTTTCAATTTAGTGAGGTATATTCATGATCACTGTAACTCTCAATTGTACTGGCATCTGAATAAGAACATACCTCAACATTTGCTTTTCAGAATACTTTTTCTTTCATTTATCTTGGGTAATGCAAGCCAATTTCCAAATGACTGCCAGACCACCAAATTCTAATTAGGTAAGCTAGTTAGATAAAAATGATAGCTTTTCAATAAGCAGGATGAGTGGGTACTTTCTATACTCCTATTCATTAAGGAAATGGAGCAGGTGAGGTGTATAATTACATGCAACATTTTTTGCTAAAACTTGAATGGATATCCCTCATTCATACTGTATTTATTCAGTAAAGTAATGGTAAACTTTTGGTTTTAGGGGAAAAAAGAAAATTGCAAGTTAATATTATTAGTGGTGTTTGGTAGCTAGAACATACCTACAAACCAAAGCAGGCATTTACTTACATAGACATTTAACAAAGGGAGGTACTAATTATAAAGTCATCTCTTCAAATGTGATGCATGCACCATTTGGATAGGCTGCATCAGGACTAGAGGTGGGCAAATAATTGATTTTTTGGTTTTCTGGAAAGTTCCAGAAAAATGGGGGAAAAAATCAGTTCAACCCAAACCAAAAATGAAAATTCAGACTTTTTGGTAAATCAAAAAACAAACAGACACAAATTTTGTTTTGGGACAAAAGAAACATTTGGTTTCTGAGCATTTTATGCCTTTTTTAAAATACAAGCAAAGAGCTAGATTAACAAAACCAGAGCAGGGGATGGTGGTATCCTTAACACCAATGGTTAGGGCACTCACTTGGGATGTTTGAGACCCAGGTTTGAATCCCTGCTCCAGAGCTAGTACTTGAACTCTTCCCCCCTTCCAGGAAGGCACCCTTACCACCAAGCTTTAGGGTATTCTGGGTCTCCCAGTGTCACACGCTGAAGCTGTTCAAATTCTTATAAAATACGTGATTAATCATTGAGCCAGAAAGAACAAAGCTCTACTGTCTGGTAATTAGGCAACCCAGCTAGGAGGATGGAGATCCAAGATCAAGTCCCTGGGCTAATGACCATTTAATTATTTATACAAAGTGGAACAGCTTCAATAGGTGAGATTGAGAGAGATCCACCACAGAATACACTATAGTCTGGTGGTAAGGGCACTCACCTGGGAAGACTGAATCCCTGCTCCAGAGAAGGGAACTGAACCCATGTCTTCCCCCGTCCTAGGAGAGTGCCTGAACTACTAAGCTCCTGGGTATGTGCAGGAGGAGACAACAGAATCCATCCAGGATCAAAGGAATGCAAAAGGTGAATTAAAGGTTACATGTGCACCCCTTGCTCCTAAACTGTGCTATCAGCAACTCAGGATCTGGGCCTTGAAATGGAGAATGTTTTAATTGTTATAGTGGCAAATGACAAATTTTTAAGATACCTACTGTAATAAACAGTTTAATAGCACTATCCTTACTAATTATCATACAGCAATTCCGAAGTATCAAAAAGGATATATAACAGCTGATCAAAACTTGGAATTTTCATTCTGCAGGAAATTCTGACATTCTGAAATTTGTTTTCATTCCAAATCAGAACAAAATAAATAGCAAGTTCCCATGAAACAAAAATGTTGACTTTAAAAAAAAAATCTGATTCCATAAAATCTAAACATTTTGTTCCAGTTTCAACTTTGTTATAAATTATAATAGGTTATAAAAGTGTTACTATAAAATAAAATACATTTTAAAATAAAGTCATTTTGAAACAACAAAAAATCAAAGCGCTCTGTTCTGACAAGGTCAAAATGGAATATTTAGACCGTATCAAAAAAAAAATGTTTTTCAAGTTTTTTTCCTAAATGAAATTGTTAAATTGACACATTCTCACAGCATGTTTTTATTTTGATGAAACAACATTTTCCAATAGAAAATACATTCCATCAGAAATTTTTTGACCAGCTCTATACAATATGTGCTATAAACAGAATGAGACTAATGATGATGCTTTAAGCAGGAAGATTTTTTTGTTTTTAATTTAGAAAAGAAAAAATATTGGAACAGGAAAAATTCATCTTGTTTTATTGTATTCTGTTTTTTCTTAAAAATCACCTTCACAAAATCATCCTTAATATTATTTATATATCACATGCATTTTAAGTTCTGTTTTTATGCGAATACATTGTAATTTCACTGCAGTATTAAAAATACACATAAGCACACACACAGATATATGTAAAATAACTAAGTCCTAAACTATCATAATAAAGGCTGAAAGAGAATATAATATTATGACAGACAAAAATATACCATTAATATTATTAATATAGTAAATAAAACACAATGTATATTTTAATATTAAAAGTGCCATTAAATTGAGAATGTTTTTCATTAGGAGCCTAAGCACAATTTACACTTACCTTTTGCTGTTAAATCTGAGTGCCACCAACTGCACAAATTAAATTCCACCAAGAACCTAAAGAAATGATCAAAATGTCTCATCTTATTACATAGAACATCTTCAAAATATTAGCTCTGTGTTCCATCTTTAAACTGTCAGTACAGTGATACCATTCACCCCATTTCAAATAAAAGCAAACAAGAAACTGATGTTCAAGCTGCTGGCATAACTCCTGAGTTATCTTTTGCTATTGTTATATTTTCACTAGGCTTTCTCTTGCCAGTGAAAAGTTATTCTGAAATTAACACTATCAAGATATTGTAGCTACATCATTTTATAATCAAGAGCTTTTACATGAGAAAGCTCATTAAAATTCCCAGTGCATGGCACCCCACAGCAATTTTACAGTTGACCATTATTTATAGTTATTCTTCATCATTCAGAATATTTTGATTCTCTAGTAAAAAGCCATATGGTTAGAACTTTCCTGGCCATGATACAGAAATACAAATAAAATACTTTCTTATGCTTATTCCAGGATCCTAAATAATAAAATATTATTTTACTTCTAGTCAGAGAACAGACTTGATTAATCAGTGGCTAACTAGTTTTGTTTTGTTTTTTGGTCTGTCTGTCTATCTATCTATCTATCAATCAAGAAAATACATTAGCCCATGAAAATATGCTGTAGGTTTACTATTAAAAAGTCAACTGAAATGTATCAAGCTTTTATTATGAATATAATTAATGTGAAACCAACATGCAAAGTCAACCTTAATGACAAGAGACTACAAATTTTCAAATTCAGAAGAGGAGAAGTGGGTTTCTTGCAATTTTTGATGTTGTTACAACCAGCAAGAAAATCTCATTTGTAATATGATTTTTTTCTGATATTTACTTGGAGAGATGTATTTCAATTCTGCAGACTGTTAAAAGACAATTAATTACAGTTTCCAAGATCACACATCAAACTGTCTTTTCAAAAGCTCATAATACTTTTCAATTAAAACAAAATAGTTACAAGAAAAGATTGCTTCCTATTTATGGAAAGATTACATTTAAGCCTGCAATTGAGCTGTCTGAAAAGTACAATAATAAAACACACATCTTAGAATATTCTAAGTGATTTGTTTCCATAATAACACAAAATAGATTTATTTAAAGCTCTTCTTCCTTTTGTGTGATTCTTCCATGTGTTTTTTTAGGCAATAGGTCCAATTTCTTTCAAAAGTCCATGCCCACTAATGCATCATCTATGTTCATTTAAAACATTGTGGGGATTAGATAAAGTCAACAATTAAATAACATGTGACAAGCACACCTTGATCTGGCATAAGTTTTAAAGGGTCCAACTTATAGAATACTTTACGAAATCACGAAATAACACAATGAATCACTAAGACAGTTTGTTCTATTGACTACAGCCCACCCAAGCAGCACTAAAAACAGCCAGACATTCATGTTAAATTTAACAGTAACCACAATAATAAATTTGGTTTGCGTATTGCAAGCTGCTAGACTGCTAAGCAAAGACATAAGGATATAAGTGGCAACCATGAATAACTTATTAAAAGTTGCAATTATACATTCCTATATTATATATTTTCTAAGACTTTTACACCAGAGATTTAATAGTAAAGAAAAATGTTAGTGAATTAATAACATTTTTTTAAATAATTCAGTATGTAGGACAAAAAAGTATAAATATTCTTTAAATTCTTGACAAAATTTACTTACACGACAAGTTCAGTCATTATCCATTTTACTGCAGCAAAGAAGGCATTATAAGGCTGAAGAGAAGCAACTCATTTAATAAAAAGGTAAAACATACAGTATTTGTACCTTAACTGAAGGCTTTATATAAAGACAATGGTATTTGAAACATATGGGTATCATGTCAAAAAGTAGCACAACTTTATCTAGGAGATTAAAAAGTAAGATACTATATCTCAATGGCAACATTTTAAAACATTCAAACTACACAGTCATGAAAAGTGCTTTACAAGTAAAACAAACGTGATCCCATGTAGGAGTTATCATTGAGAAACAAGGAAGTTCTGCAAATGATACTTAAATATTTTACCTCTAGGGGCTACTATTTCCTAAGCTAATGTGGAGGGAGTAGTACTGATAGATCACTTAAGTGTTTTCAAATTGTAATTCACAGAGTTGCCTCTCTGCAATGTAAATCTCTATTCCTCACCTCACTGCCCTTCATTGTAATTGGGATAGGAAAACGGACACAGCTTGAATTTACTTTTTCTATGTGAAGTCATCTGTGCCTTTCTGAAAGCCCAGCACTAGGGAATATTCAGAGTGTTAAAATATTTATTATTTTTTCCTATATTTTGTGGGAAATTAATTAAACTGATAATTAAATTATTTTAAATTGAAGTAAATTGATCATTTTGGTGTTTATCATGTTTTATACATTTTAAATATTTTACATAAAATATCAATAGGAATATTCATTTTGGGTAACCCATGCAGAATAGTTAGTTTTCTGAAATCTGACATACAGAAGTCCATTCTCTCACATATTTGTGCATAGATCTTTCAGCTCTGTAAGATGTTTTGAGTTCTTCTTTTAAATGACAAAGCATCAAGGCATAACTTTGAGCATATGCATAGTCCCATTGACTATAATGGAACTACTCAGATGCTTGAAGTCATGCATATGCTTAAGAACCTTGCTGAATCAGCACCTTACTAAGGTCCCCATTGCAGTAACATCTGGAATACCTAGGCGCAATGGAAAAGGAATGGAATGTCAGCTTAAACTGTTTTATTTCTGATTTCTGGCAGGTGAGGAGGATGTTTAACTAAACAATGCCATTTTTTAAGAGCTCGGAGTCATGTTCTCCCCTAGGTATATGCTGTGCAGAGAGAAACAGAACAACCTTCATCACACAGAGGATGCTATATACAGCATTTCCTCTCTTAGGGAAGGGGAATTTAAGATACAATTTACATGAGTTATTGCAGCTTTGAGCAGCAGTAACTTCCCAACTGAAGCTTTCAGAGACCACAGAGGGGGTTTTGGCACATGGCTGGTCAACCCACAGCCAACTGCAGTATAGTGTATGTGACAGCACTGCTAGAATGGGATGCTGAAGTGGTGCAGAACTAGCAAGGACTTTAAATATAACCTGAGACCAACATGATCTTGACCTATGAAGGACTGATTTATAGGAAAAAATAAATGAACTAAAGAGCTAAGTGATGACCAAAGGGGAGCTGGTCAGAAAATGAAATTTCCATTCAGTGGGAAATTCAGACAGTTCAAAAATTGTTTTAATTCAAAATTGGAACATTCCGTAGTTTCACACACAAAAAATACTCTGAAAATCCTTTATTCTGAAAAATTGATTTTTTCCATAATGTTGAATCACTTCATGTTGATAATGTCAAAACAATATAAAAATAAATACAATATTATTTAACCTAATATAAAAAATAATTAAAATGTTCCAACATTATCAAAACAATGTTTCAAAAGTTCTGAATTGAAATATTTTGATGCTATTGAAATTTTGCCATAGCATCAAAATGAAACAAGAAAGGCGAAGTTATTCATTTAGATGTTTTCCTGGTGAAAATGTCATGGCAATTGACACTTTTCCATGAAACGTTTGATTTTGACTAAACTTCATTTTCTGATGGAAAACTTGTTCTGACATTTTTTTAAACCAGCTGTACTGACTGCCTATCTATATCTATCTATAGATGAAAGATCCTAACACCAAAGAGGGAGAGGAATCATTTAATGTCATGATCTTGCGAAGGGATCCACCTGGGTGGCCCTTATCCTTGCACAGGTCCCTTGTTAACACTGGTTTATTAGTTTGGCTCATGGAGGTATAATTTTAAGTTAGTGGGTGACATTAAGATAAGGAAAAATCAGGCTGAATATCAGGAAAAAACTTCTTTATTATGAGACCTATTTGGCTGTGGAATAGTCCTACAAGGGAAGGGCCAAAAATCTCATTACTTGGGACTTTTAAAATTAACTGGATGATCTATAGGTCTCTTGTCCATTTCTAACCTCTATTATTTTAATCCCATGGTCTACAGGCATATTCTACAAATCCTGACTGTGCCCCATCTCCTACTTTGCACAGTCACTTGTCCTGAGCGGATGATATGGTGGAACACTGTCTCTTTAAGACTTGTGCATATTGTGATGCATGTGTTCCACTTCTGCGCTATTTAAAATATGAAAAGGCACACACAGTCCTAAACTTTCAACAGGGCCTCAAGCCTTACTTGTGCTTGCAATTGTACACATGTAATTCTGAGGTGGGAATATAGCACATATGTGAACATGAACAGTATGTGTATGTGCAAATTGTACTGTAAGGTGCCTAATAGGCGATTTGCATGTGCAAAGCTGTGGGCCAAGACACAAATGAGCTGCTTTTTAAAATCTGGCCCTAACTTCTCAGCCTACATTTTCTTTACACTTTCATTACAATCATGATAATTAGAGATGGGTGAACCAGCAGAGATAAAATAAACTCTAAGTGAAGCTTTGCCTATGGTTATCTTTGATAGAAAATGTTCACCACATGTCTCAGTATATGCCACAATTTTCCAAGAAAGGTTTTTCTTCCAATATTCCCAGTGTGACCAGAAATAGGGAGTAATGACTATCTCTTGCAAAAATGCCTGCTTTTGGGATATAATTTTTGCATACCAAAGGGGTTAGGATAGTACAGCTCACCATTCTGGGATGCTGATCCAGACTGAACTGACCCCCTGCCTCCCCCCAAAAAACTTTTTTGATGTTTTCCCATTGCTGTTACTTTACAGACATTTTATGTCTCTCATCTAAATCTGATTCAGAACATTCCATATCATTTAGCTGAGAGCTTACAACTTGATCCTGAAAACACTTACTGCTTTGCATAGTGCTATATAGTCCCATTATGACAGTAAGTGTCTCTAAGGTCAGGCCTTTGCTTGGAAATGCTTAGGCTGATGTGTATTTCAGGTATTTAAAAATATGTGGGTTCATGCAAATACATAAATGAAAATGTTGTAAAATGCATATGATTATTCAACAGGGCATAAAAGTTATACACAGATATTTGGAAATCACCATAATAATTAAATATTTACCTAGACGTTTAAGTAATTATGCTGACAGAACTATTAGGTTTAGCTTGTATAGCTGTACTCAGGTACATTTAAAAAGAAATCTGTGTAATAACTTTTTCTAGAGTCTGATATCAGTGAATAGGGCCCTTCAGTTTTGGAATTATTTTGTTGCAGCCTTTATATACACATTTTTCATGCTAAATACTAACAAATTTGGTTAAAAACAATTCATTTTGTAATATTAATGAGATGATTCAACTATATACATCCAATCTAATGGTCCATTCTGGCTTAAAAAAAACATATGAATATTTTGTATTATAAAACATCCTAAAATTATTAACTGCCAGCCCTGATCCCTTAGTGACCAGGGGTCTGCTCAAGTGGAACACATTTGACTTCACTTTGGGTTCTGAGAAGGCACAGGGATCTGTATGCAGAGCTAGTTACAGGAACAAGGTTTAAGTGGTCAGTGAAATTCCACTTTAGAAAAAAATCAATCTGTTGTTCCGTTTACTGCAGAAGTGCAAAACAAGGTGCAGAAAACATTAACTTGAAGGCTTTAACAAAACCAACCACCCTATAATTAAAACCTCCCAAACCTTTTTTTTAACAAATTATATATTTAAAAATTCCAGATCTTTGCCTAAAGCAAATGTTTATAGTTAATTTAGAAAGTTATGAGAGTAGGTGTTCATAATGGGACAAATAACATGCTGACAGACTCTTAGCATTAGTAGTGCTAGTGGAAAAAGCTACCGTACAAGAGTTTGGACCCGTAAATACTTAACACAGTGGATTTATTGATATAGAACCATTGTTCATATGGGATGGGATGGTACGATAAATGTAAGAGCTTTAATAGCTCCAAATAGCAATAATAGGCTTGTGATAACTACAATCAAAATATTACATCATATGTATATATATATTTGCAACAATTTTCTGGTGATTTTATGGAAGGGTGCTCATAATGTTAACTATACTTACGTCCAGTAAGCTATGGGCACTGTCGCTACTCTCTTTGTTTGTTCTACACATGGCCTGGTAGTCATAAAGTGTAATTCTAAGAGAAGAACAGAAAACTGCTTGACTAGAAGAAGAAAACACACCAGAATAAAATGGTGAAATACAACAGGGTCTGCCCACAAAATAGGCAGCAAAATAAAATTTAAAAGGGGGAAGGGGAGGAGAGGGGAGAGGAGGGAGGGAGGGGGTCATTAAAATACATTCCAGACAAAGGAGCATAAAGGCAAGAAACACTGTAAAACTTTGTAAGGATTTTATCAGGCGGTGGTACAAAACGATGGCATAGTTGGGAGAAGAGAAAATAGGGAAGTGTACACATACAGTATAACAGATGGTGGGATAAACAATGCAAGGAAAAGGAGACTATACATTCAACAGGATGCTTAAACAATTAGATTTTGATTCTGGACTGAGATCTGCACATTTAGCCCCAGAAAGTGAAACAACCTATGCATTTGAGGGGCTACTTGTGCTACAGCACTCTCTGTACCCTCAAAAGTGAAGTAAGACATCTCCACCCATCCAGAGACCCCCATGTACCAATTATCCCCTCCAAAGGTTGTGACTTCCCAAGAAGTTGGAGGTTGAAGTTCAGCATATTCGCTATTTCGATATTCCAACCAGCATGAGTGTAACTGTGCTATTTTTTATGAGTGTAAAATATACAATATGCATAGTGCTTGCTGTAATAAACAACTTATAGGAACCTCCTCAGATGCATAGTAAATAGGGAGCTCTCTTCCTGCTTGTGATTTTACCCATCTTTGACATAACTGAGAGATTTTGTGTAAAATCCAGCACTTAGAGACACGCAGAATTATGACAACCTCTGTAAGTATGTGTCCATAGAACAATGAATCAATTGCACCCATCCACATCGCTGTTAACATCTGTGACAGATGAAATATTGATTTTAATCTTCATTTAATGTCATTACAAGTATGAATTAACAAAAGTTACTAATGTAAATTAAACATTCATTTAATGGTTTCATCATCAGAAGTATGAGAGAAAACAAGTGGATGTGAATTGCTTATAAAAGCGTGAAAGGGGACTGCAATGTTCTGTAACATTTGGCATGCCTCGAAGTGAAATGAAAAGCATATCACACTCTAGGGGTAGGTCATGGAAAGGATGCCACAGTGGCATGTCAAAGCCAAAGAGCCAGCTAATGACATACTTTTAACGTCACTCAGAGGCATTCCATACCATATACATGAAAGGCTGGCAATCCAAAGTGCAAAATGTTGCAGTCCGTATTGTTAGGTAACTATATATAGTTTTGCTAATCTAAATTTGTGACTGGAACTGTCACTAAAAGGTTCTGAGAAATCATTCAAATATTATATATTAGTTACACAGTATATTTCTTTCTGGCTCAGATAAATTTTGACTAAGTGGTTTGGATCCTACACTTTCAGCTAAATATTTGGTCTGTGTCACATAATGGTTTCTCACTTACTATAGCTTATGTCCAGTAAAAAAATGGCGAGGAAGCCAGAGCTGTATTGGCCTGGCAGAAAGAGGCAAATGGTAGACAAAACGCATAACTAGAGACCTATACATGGGTGTAGGTTAAACACTGACCATATTTGGCAGAATCACGCCCACAGCCAGATCCGCGCACACAGATCTGCCAAGACAAACAGAGCAGTACATGGTGTAAGTTGTGCTGCCCTTATGGCATGCAGAAATACACCACTTCTTCTAGCTTTCCCCCTCCTCCCCGCTAACCATGGTTACACTTTCCAAGCCTCTCCATCTCCAGTCTTGGCTCCTGTGTTTCCCTCCTCTGTATCTAAGAACCATGCACTGCTCTTATCCATGCATGGAACCACTGTGTCAGCATGTGTTAAGCACACAAAGAAGAGCAGTTTACAGGCTTTAATTGTTCTATGCAGAATTGCCAAAGAAGTCTACTTCGCTGAAATGCCCCCACTCTCCCATGCCCCACTGTCTGTTCTTAGAGTAAAGTAGTGTTCAGTTTTCACTCCTTTCATGGTATGTTTAATATAATCAATAAGAGTATTGCAAAGGTGGTATTTGAAAAGTGCAATCATATCCTCTAATGTTAGCTTCATCTGCTGAGGTTTGTTAATCTGCAGATTGCTTTATCCTGCATAGAAGTTTTAATGAAATTATATTACTATGTACCACTTAGAACATCTGTTATAATTATCATTTAGTCTCCAGTGTTAAATATTGGAAGATGTCTTTCAATCTTTTTTTTGCAATATTAACTCTTGTAAATACTACGATTGTATAAGTGAAATTTTGTGTGTATTTTCTTTACTAAACATACAGTGATAAAGGTTAATAAAATATTGCAATATGAATTCAAACAAGTAATTTTAAATACAAAACGTAACTGAATAAACCTGGTTATATAGGCTGATTCTTGAGGATTGTGTTGTTTTGGACAAATCTAAGATTGCTCTTATTGTTTATAACACCTAAGTTAAAACATGTAGTTAAATAGAATTTTACTTTGCTGTAAGGCAAGAAGTAAGCCTTAGCTTTAAGGCACAGAGAGAGTTATAACAGAGAGCCTTAAAATCAAGGTGAGCATATAGCATAATTGCTATTGCTGGGCCAGAGCGCCACAAACCCATGTGTGTATGATATTGCAATGTGTTTATAGTCTTTTCTAAATATATTAAAGTGTTTCCAGAGAAGATTCCAGTTACAGGCGGAAAGTATAGGAAAGTCACTTTCAAAACAGAGACAATGTAGCCAGGTGGGAAAAAAATTGAACAAATCTTAAGGAAAGCTGCATTACAGACACAGTTTTCCCAATAAAGGCCTGGAATAAATCCTGCTTTTGTGAAGGAAGTACTGATGTTGTTACAACATGTGCTATTTAACAATGGCTATTAAATCCTACCATACTGAGTAAAATAAGTGTTATGCTGCTTTTCAAAGGGTCAGCTTCAATGCTACTGAAACCCTGCATCTTTCCAAAGACAATTCAAACAATAACATCAACAAAGGATGCGCAGATCACATTAGAAAAAGTATGACTGTAGACAACCTCATAAGGTCTAATTCTTCACCAATGGAAGCCAATGGGAAGATTCCAGTAACCGTGAATGGCCACAGGATGATGCCCATAATGAGGCTGAAATTTGAACACTACAACATGTTGAAACAATTCAGGACTTTCATTCAATGTCACTATTAACAGATATTAAAGTTCAATACAAATGGGTTCTACAGCATTCACAAATTCAAATGCCAGCTTTCTTTTATTCTTGAAAATGTGTTACAGCTCTAAGATTTCCCGTACATCAAAATGGTAAAAGACGTCTAGTGCTATTACTTGCAAACACTACTGTTGTATGAATAGCCAAAGTAGTGATCCAAGATTCTGTAGTGCTTCTGTGTAAAGAGTTCATTTCTACAGTATTGTTTTAATGCTAATGTCATTCTAAGATGTTATAAAATAGTTTTTCCCTCAGTATTTAGACAGGTTTAACTAATGTTGCAAAAAGAAAGACTTCTAGATTATTAGCCTTTCTGAAATGATTGTGTTGCTGTTTGAAAAGTTTGTGGCTACCTGTGTCCTGTTCAGCTGCTTATAGTTAAAGAACATGATAATTGCCAGCTTTCCCTCTGATCTAAATTTAAGCCCATCTCGTTATGTCCAACCCAAGCCTGATGAGTTCTTAGCATCAGTAGATTATTCTTGCTAGAGAGCACATGCCTGAGTCTTTATGACATCACTGTACTGTTAACTGCCCACATTTCCATACTTTATCATCGCCATTGAAGTCCACAGAACAGTTGCTTTCAAAATCTGATATACGACAGACATGGACTATATATAAAACTTTAAGTAATGGAAAACAAATTTTCAACAGCTAATGGTGCACCTCTGTTTTAGATAAACTTGGGAGACATATCCATTTTGGTGAAACCCTTTTATAGTCAGTTTCCTGATACAGTAAATTCAAGTGTTGCACTTTACAATGTACTTGCAGTTGAGTAAAAATCTGGTTCAAGAAAATTAAACATCTAACCCAAAATCACTGGGTAGGCCAGAGTGGGGACCATGCTTGACGGTATTTTTCTCATGCAGCTTCCTACAGTGAGCTGTACCTCCCTTGTGGGATATAGGCCTACATTGCTGTGCATGCACTAGAGGTAGAAGGTTTTTCCTAGGTTATCTCTGGGTCCTGCTAGTTATCCTCAGATCACTGTTTGGCTGCACCCCAACTCTATTAGGGCTGTAACCTCTACCACAATGATCCACATTCTTGGGGACTAGATTCTTGGCCAGGCCTCTTTTTCTAGCCCAGGTGTCTGCCATCCATGCCTGCCCAGAGGAGCAATCCATGAAGGAGCAGTCATAGCAGAAATGACCTGTTGCTAGCACAAAAAAGTAAGTCCGAGTTGAGGGTTTTTTCCCACCCCTGACTGCACAGGGGAGGTGGGATTCTTGTGGCAGGTATTTCATAGAATCATAGACTATCAGGGTTGGAAGGGACTCAGAAGGTCATCTAGTCCAACCCCCTGCTCAAAGCAGACAGATTTTTGCCCCAGATCCCTAAATGGCCCCCTTAAGGATTGAACTCACAACCCTGGGATTAGCAGGCCAATGCTCAAACCACTGCGGGACTGGTCTCTCCTCTCACCCTTTCTTCCCCTTGGAACCAGTCTTCCAGGGCTTTGTTGTAGCCATGGACTGGCTGGGGGCGCCAGACCTGGTATGCAGTTTCCCAATGATTTGCCGCCTCAGCAGGCTGGAATGTCTGCTGTCATTGGTCAGCTGGGGTGAGCATCTTTGGTCTTGAGTGGCCCCACTCTCAGGCCTGCAGCTGCTAAGTAATTTTCTGCCAGCCTGATTGCCTCAGCCAACGTCTCAGGCCAATGTTGTAGCATCCACTCTCACCCCCGCAGTTGGGAGAACCTGCATAAATTGTTCCAGCACCACGTGTTTGGCCACCTGTCCCCCGTCCATTTGTTGGGCTGGAGCCACTGCCAAGAGTGTTCTGTAAGGCTCTTGGTCACTGCTCGTGACTGGGTCCCCGGGGGACA